TAGATGCACAGATATATGACGTAATAGCTACTAACATTATATATAGCTTTCAATTCAAGTGACTTAGTCTATTGGTCTAAGTATGACTATTGGCAAATCACATGAAGTAATTAGTATATTTAATAATGATTACAATTTTGTAGAAAGCAAGAACAAATCACCGATCTCACAAAACTAAGAGTTTTCACAGCAGTCGAAGCATTCAGCAGCAGCAACAAACATGAGACAGTCCACAAAACCACCTCCCAAATCTACAGAAATCTCTCTGTGATTGTTTAAGGCGTGGCTCAATTGAATTATTAACCAATTAGAAGTAATGAATATGATTAATAGACAAAAAGTTAGGTCAGTACTCGGCTCAGTAGTACAGTCCACTCTTGATAATAGGCTACGGTCAGTTAGCATGTATGATACAAGACAATACCCAAAGTCAATGAACCAAGCCTGATTACAGTATTGATAGTCTACAGTCTAACAAGTGTCATTCAGTGCTAAATCATTTATGTTGTTCTGGCTGAACCAGCATGAATTCGAGCCTGGGCATGATTGTATCAAGGCTGATGGATTCAGCTAGGCTTATTGCCAAATTAGCTGCCCAAAATCTGTGATTCAGGATGCATTAGGCCGGATCAGGACTGACATCATTCATGATTCAATCACAAACTCTTGGCTGTGTGTATACTCAAATTTATGTCTTAATGTATTGCTGTCAGTGTCTTCAACAGAGCCCAGGAATTTCCTAGTCTTTCTAGCAAGACCATCCCCCAGCCTACAGTCATAATTTAGGTGAACAGCTGTAGACTGGGAAAAGGTCTGGCTCCGTGAGACTAGAATGGTCTGGTTAGCAAGACTAGGAGTTTCCCTAATGTCAGGACTTATCAGGAAGCTATGGGTGGTGTACAGGGCCACTGAGAGGGGGGGGCCGGCAAAAGGGGCAAATGCCCTGGGCCCCACAATTTAAAGGGCCCCAAGAAATTTTTTAAGAACTTAATTAAACAGAATTATTACAGAAGATGGGCCCTTTTGGCCTTTTGCCTAGCAAAAAAATCATGATATCATCAAAATCAATCTTCCTAGCTAGTTGAAATTCATTAGACAAAGTGCATGTTATCATACGTGCAGGTCAAAATTAATTAATTTTGACCACACCCATTATGAATATAATTAAAACTGCAAAATTTTTTGGCACGCTTTGCGCGCAACAATTTTCCTCCCTGGGCCCCTCCAAAGCTCTCAGCGGCCCTGGTGGTGTATTACTAGTTTTGGAAGCTGCCAGACCCTTCCTGCCTAAATGACTGTAGGCTGGGAAATGGCCTGGCTAGTATTGCTTATTGTCAAGCTTAATGTTTATCATTATTGCATGTAACTTGTGGATTAATGTTATTAAAAATTGAATTGGTGCATAAGTGATTGTCAAAATAAGTGATTGTCAGGAAGTCAAACCCACATCAAATCATTGCTTACATAGATAACTAAATTGTGGCTTAGAGTTTTTCTTGATCCTCTGTTTTTCTCTGTTACATACTGTAAGAGCTAACGCTAGGGTGCATACACATAGTGACATGCAAAGTGAGTTGCCTGTCAGTGAATATACTGTGACATGTACTGTACAAGGTACATGTATATACACATAGTGACATAAAAGGTACTACAAATACAATTTTTAAATGATTATGGCATAGTTGTCCTTTTAAAATATAGCTATGCTATAAAATATTCATAAACAACCATGTTTGGCCGAGTTTTTGGCAAAACTGAAATCTAACACAGCATATCTTTTCTAATCCTGTGTTTCTCTACTATTCCAAGGAATTTTTAAGTAACAGAATCTACGCAACAACCACAACTATGGAAACCAGGCTTTATGAGTGTTATATTATGGAAGGTCAAATGTTATGTTGGATAACAAGGAAAGCCAACAAACAAACAGGCATTGCAGATTACACAAAAATAATTAATCTTCTTGTTATATCAAAGCAAACTCAAATCAACCTCAAGTTGTTAATCCTGTGTGTGCATGCAGGTTTAGATAATCAAAGTGCCAATTTTAAAACTTTATTTAAAAAACTGGAACTAGATATAAAACTAAAATAAATTTACCTTACTAAAACAATATGGGCCAGAAGCTGGCCTCAAGACTAAAAACAACACTAATAGCAAGTACAATAACAATAAAAATGTATTTGTAAATATATAGTTTTTTATTTCATTTCAAGCTTCTCAATCATTTCAGCCTCATATTCATTCTTGGTGTAACTCTTAACTTTACGTCTTTTAACGAAGCACAGACAAACAGATACAGTTATAACAGCCACAATTGCCATGAGAATGACAACTAGTGCTATAATGATAATGATCCAGGTATTAACTGATGATGCTTTATTACTCCCTGGCGGAGTTGTTGAAGTGGTTGGAATAGGACTGCTTACCACAATTTCTGTACCTACAAAAGAGGCACCGTAACTTTATACATAACAAAATACCTAGCTATCCAAAAAAATTACAAATGCATACATGCAAAAGTACATGCATATCATGATATTTTAAATAATGCATTTGGCTGATACATACCACAATTGGGTCCAGTGAAACCATCAGAACATATACACAAATAAGCTCCAGCTACTATTTGACAGGTAGCACCATTAAGACAGAAATCCTCTTCACAGTCTTGTAGAACTATAATATTAGATTAAACCTTAGCATCATTTAATTTTCAATGCTCTTACTAGTATTGTTACACATAACTCCTTCATAGCCTTCCGAACAAAAACATGTGTTGTTATCCACACATGCTCCATGTATGCAAGGAGGATCACAATAAACTAAGAGAGTAATAAATTAGTTTATTTTTATTCATATATTTACATGTATCTACTAGTTTTAGAAGCTCAGTAATA